ATTTGAGGCATCTTATTGGTTCCGCCATGTTTTGTCAGCACTAATAGAATTAATAATGGCTGCGTTCAGCAGAAAAAGCAGTTTTGCAACTGTTGTAAAATTCTTGAATATAATTGGCTTATATATTTGGATCTAATGAGGAAGTAAAGGCAAGACCAATTATATTAAAGAATTTTACAACAGTTGCAAAGCTGCTTCTAGAGTCTCTATACTAAAGCTGCGATCTCACGGAGATATGCATATCTTGATATTTCCCCCACTCCCATCAGTATAGCTGAAAATAGAGCGCTTTCTCGATATCCAGATATGATTCCGATAGTTCGATTTATCGAACTATGAGATATTACATTGGATACGCGGCGACCAGCGAAGATTCAAAATGCAGGATAACAGAGAATCTAGCGAGGTAAAAGAGAGTATAATAATAATTTTAACCACATTTTGAATAAAATTAATACAAGGAGGGCTCAATTAGAATCATATATGTATAAATTGATATAAAAAGGGAGCCGAAGCTAGGTGTTCGTGTTACTATTAAAACAATTTTGCCATGTAATAAACAAACGTTTCGATAGGGCTTTAAATATTAGAAGAAAGAACTAAACAGACTCTCTTAACGACATTTGTTTTATTATAAATAATTTTATTACATTTATTTTATATTTGTCTCATATTAAATATATTGTGCATCACAAATTGCCAACAATACTACACTGTGAGCCCCTTTGTAATTGTAATAACTCGAACCCGCATTATTAGGGCACTGAAACATTACGAATTATTGTTTTTACCACAATGTATGTATGTACTGCAATATATGTCGTGCATTTTTCATTTTGAAATTGTATTATTAAAATTGATTAAACAATAACTATTAAAACATTTACGTACTTGAATGATAGCATGTTTGCCATCTATATAACTCCGATATAATGAATAAAATTTCTCAACTCTTCAAAGTCCCGACTGATTTCTATCCACTTTTCTTTTGTTAATATCGGTGGTAAAACCATAGCTATTGTTCTACAATAAAGGATTTATTTATCACACACCAACATCTTGTGAAGACTCGAATGACATTATACCTCACACTTAGATTTATTCAAACGAGTCGATATAATATTATTTTTATATAATAATAATATAATTATATTTATAATTATAATTTAATAATTTTAATAATAATTTAAAAAATTTATACGTTTAAACATTTTTTTTTTTTAAATGACCTAAGCGAGGTCGAAACGTCTGTTGTTTATAATTGTCATATTTTATGTTTTATATTTTAGTTCTTTTTTCTAACTTTTGTTTGTGTTTATGTTATTATAATTATTGTTTACAATTTTTTAATTCTATGTAACTTTCGATTTCTTGTTTTGTGATAAAATGTTTTCAAAATTATTAAATATTTTATTATTGGTTATCTAATTCGTAGCCATTCTACATATATTATTTAAATCATTGAGCTATGCCCGATGAGAACACATGTAGTATCCACATGGAATCTACGTGTTTTACGTGGACTACGGAATTAAAAATTTATTTACATAATATCCACGTGAATTCTACGTAGACACTTCCATATAGATTTCAATACGTATAATCCACGTGGATTGCATAGAGTGAAAATCGATGTTAATTTATCCACGTGAATTCAACGTTGCTATTTCCTATTTTTATTTCCGTTAAATTTCATCAGTAATTGATCCACATGGATTATACGTATTGAAATCTATATGGAAGTGTCTACGTAGAATCCACGTATTTATCAATGCATTTACCACAATATAACTTTTAATGCATAAACAATTTATAAATATTTTGATCTATATA